ATATTACATATTATTTATTTACCATGTTATATTTGTCATTATGGTTTCCTATCTTTTGTTTATAAGTATTAGCATCTATGGAGATCTACTCCTCTTCATTTACCTTACCTCCTCCCTCCTCAGGATAACCACTATATTTAGTGTGTGTGGATTATTCCTCTCCACGTCTGTACCTTAGTACATGTATCAGTATAAATATATGGTATTGTTTTGAGCTTATGCATGTATCTTGTTTTGGAATATTCATATGGATTGTCAGAAATACCCCAATCTAATAAATATTCTAAAGCACATCAAGCTATTTTTAGCACTTAATTAAGTCCTTGGAAAGTAAGCATTTGGAAACTAAGCTGAATATTATTTTTAAAGATTGGTTTTTTTAGGCTCTAAATGTCAGAAACAAGAATCAAAATAATTAAAGAAATTTTTGTACATTTCTGATATAACAAAAAGTAGTTCAATTTCAATCTTCAGTTTTTTTAAACTTTGTTTTTGTTTTTGTTTTTTGGTACCAGGGATCAAACCCAGGACTTTGTGCTTGCGAAGCAGACACGGCACCACTGAGCTAAATCCCCAGCCTTTCAATCTTCATTTTAATGCATACATTTTTATCTCCAGGCTAAATGTGATATATAAAATATGGTTTTGAATTTGCCCATAAGTTGTTATTTATTTCACAATTAATTTAAGGTTAATTCAATAGTAGGAAACACTTATTTAATGTAAGTCAGATTTGTCTTTTTTGATATGTATTGCCGATGTTATTAAAGACCAATACATTTAACTAAGTGAGAAGATAAACTTTAATTCTAATACACTGATATGAGTAATGTATTTTACGACAATAACATTTTTATTTTGTATTATGCAAAAATATGCCATGAAAAATCATTTTCAAAATTTTAAGGATTCTTGTTATATGGTATTATGGATGTAGTTTTAAAATTAAGAGAGAGAGAGAGAAAGCAAGATTGATTGGACCAATCTAACAAGATGAGATTCTTAACACCCTTTAAGTCACCTTGTTTCTGACTTGTATGCTATTATTTTTAACAACTAGCACACATTCTGCTAATCACACAGCTGAGACTAAAGGAATCACTAAATCCAAATCACCAACCCACAGATTCATGAACTAAGTGATGTTTGTATTTTAAAAACTGAGTTTTAGTGTAGTGTGTTGCACAGCATAATTAAAAAATAGACTGCCACAAATATAGTGGCTTTTGTTGTTTGCAACTGGGAGCTTTATTAACTCATACAACTTCTTTTAGTTTTTCTCATTAACCTGGAAACTCAAGAGCAATTCATTCCATAAATAGTTCTGGAGCTGTTAGTATAAGCACAATCACAGTGATAGGAGCAGAAAGTTAAGCTGTAGGAAAAACACAGCTGACCCATAGTTCTTGGATTTTAACATTGTATAAGGCAACTTTCATCAAATCTTCATTGGAGACAAAGAAACAAACACTGGGACAAAATGTAAATAGTCAGGTTTATACATTAGAAATGTAGGTCACAACATAGATTAGTGGTGGTGAACCTACAGCAGATGTGCTGCAGCCAGCTGTTTGTATCATTGCAGTCTCTAAAAGGTTCATCATCATTGATGTAGATTGTTTGCAGACTCTAAACATTTTTCCATGACTTCTTGAGATGGGCTCAGTGTGCCCAGTGACCCCTAATTTCCTGACGATGGCCTAATTCCAGGTAAGGGGCACCATCTTAATATCCAACACTTTTATAAAGAACTTGGCAACTTTATCTTGAGACCACAAGAGCTAGATCTCCACTCTGCCACAATCAAGGGATCTTGCAGCTCTGTTGAATTCCATAGCCACCTGAATCAGTGCAGATACTTTTGAGATGATAGCCCAGCCCTTAAATGAAGGATGGAGAGTGTTTCCTCCAGCAGTTCCATAAATATGCTCATCTTAGAGTCCTAATAGATAGTACATTAGTCAGGTTTCCATTGCTATAATAAAATACCTGAGATAACCAATTTAAAAAGATCAAAGACCTATTTTGGCTCATAGTTTCAAAGGTTTCAGTCCATGGCTGGTAGGCCTTGTTGCTTTGGAGCTCAGAGGGAAACAGTACATCTAGGCAGGGAGCACGTGACAGACTAAGCCGCTTACTTCAAAGTAGCCAGGAGACAAAGAGGGAGAAAGAAGAGGCCAGCATGACACAATCGCCTTCAAGGGCATCCCCTCAGGGACCTAAAACCTCCAACTAGGCCCCATTCTTAATGGTCTCCACCACCTTCCTGTTGCACTAAGCTGGTGAACAAATCTTAAACACAAGAATCTGTGGAAGACAGTTAAGATCCAGACTGCTGTGATTTTTTTTTCTTAACAAATAAAGGCATAAATGTCCCTTCCAAAGGACATGGAGACTCTTTCCTTGGGGTGAGGGGATAGAGGGATCCATGAACAAGACAGTTCAGAAGGAAATAGAATAATTAAAAGAGAAAAGAGAAATGTTAGATGGAAACAAGAGATCAAAAAGTAAACATAAGATTAATTTTTAAGCAGTACTCTAGTTCTGTTAATATTTACCTTTTATAACTTTGTGTTCTGTTGCCAGAACAAAGGCCTCACCCGCTACGAAGTGCAGCATAAAAAGCCAAGCAGTGAGCATCTCTGTGCTGAAACCACTGCTGCTACCCTTCCCACTGCTCCTGCAGCCCCAACAAGAGCACGATGGAGAAGCTTCTTCCAGGTGCCCTGCTCCTCTCCATCCTCACAGTGGGCATGACACAGTCAGGTTGGTCCTGAGTCCACCTGGGAAGGTCCACTGGGTCCCGGGGGTCAAGGCGCAGCACCTTTTGCTGGCATTGCTGCTGCTCCTCCTTTTAGGAAGATGTGAATGAAAGACGGTGTAAATAACTTATTACAGCTGCCTAAGAATTTATCTCAAGATGTGGCAGCCAGAGACAACAAACATTTACTGTCTCGTACTCTCTGTGGGTCTTAAAAGGGGCATAGCTTAGCTGATGATTCTGCTGTTGCAGTCAGCTGGCCAAGGTTGTGCTCTCATCTGAAGGCTCTGCTAGGGAGGTGCTGCTTCCAAGCTCACTTGCTCTCATGGATCGTCAGGATACAGCTCTTTCCTGCACCCGTGTTGCAGGCCTCAGTTCCCCACTGTCTATGGTGAGAGGCCCCCGTTAGTTCCTCGCCACAGCTCCAGCCTTTCTCCAGAACAACACATGGCTCAGCTGGCCCTTCCCATAGCAAGTGATCCAACTCAGGGAGGGAAAGTGCCCAGAGCAGAAGCCAGCACTTTCTCAGCATCTAATCTTAGAAAGCATGTACCTCACTCCTGCTGCATTCTCTTCCTCACAAGTAAGGCAGCCCATACCCAAGGGGAGGAGAATTATTTTAGGTCATAATTTTAAAACCACCACAGATGCAGATGAACCCAGGGGCTGCAGAAAGAACAGGGGCTTGGTTTGTAGTATGAGAACACCACTATGGCTCGGCTGAAAGAGTAAGAAGGGCTGTGAGATTTCTACTAGAGAAGTCACTCTCTGATCCATCTCAAGGATTTAGTCCAGGGAGCATGAGAGGAAATAGGAAATCTTTGAAGTAGCTTGAATTTTAAATCAGAGAATCAGTTTCTCCCAAACAATTGAATGACCTTTTGTGAAGTTGCTAAACTCTGAGCCTCGTTCTCTTCATCTATAAAATGGGAGTAAACCTCCACCTTTATATTATTGCCACTAAGGACAAACTCATCTTCTGAAGTTTGAGACACTCGTTTCTCTATTGTGTCACTGTCAGAGATACGGTTTTCAAAATCTCACTCTATGGTTAACCATATTGTTTTGCTCCAGGTTTGTGTACTGACGAGATTCCAAATCACAAGAACAGAGATAATTAGATCATAGAGTATAAATGTATGATTTCCCTTGCTCTGCTCCTAGTTCCCATTGCATTGACAGTTCAGATCTCTCTATCTCTCTTTCCCTCTCTTTCTGTCTCTCTCTCTCTCCCCTTCTCCCCCTTCTCTCTCTTACACACACACACACACACACACACACACAGTTTCTTCCTGGCGTCCTCTCCCTAAGTGCTCTGTTCCTATCCTTTGTCCAGGATTAAGTACTTCTTAAGCAGCCCTTGTATCTAAGGAAAGAGGAATTCATGCTGTTTTTACATTTCCTACTATGAAGCAAAACTAACTCAATTCAAGACCTCATATTACTTCTGGGACATGTCTCCCTTGTTTCGGTTAGTCATTATTCTTTAATTTATTTTCCAGACCATAGTATTTGTTAAATTTACTTTCCCGAGCAATAAAAAACTAGTTTTTATAATGATTATGTCCTGCTCTTCTCTTGGGGGTTTTAAGGGAAAATAAGTCAATGCTAAATAATTCCATAATCTTGGTGTTGCAGCTACAGGGAAACAGTGGAAAATTGTCCTGAGCTGGCACCCAGGAGCTGCCACAGAGGTGGGGGTGCCATCACGGTCTGGGCCGTGTGATTTGCACATTATTCTACTCCTCAGACTTTTCACTAACCACAAGTGTTGGTCCATCATAGCCAAGATAAGCCATTAAAATGATATCTAATTCCAGCCACCAGTGTCCCATGAAAGAAATCTCAGGACCTGACCAGTGGTGGGGAAATACGAAGTACTACCTGCTTTACCATTATGCTCAGTGAACCAGCAAGTCAGCTGCTTTTCATTTTCTGTGACTGACATTTTCTCTTTCATCCAGATGGGATCTGCAAGGAAGATGGAGATGAGATTGATACAGGACTCTTGTGTGTGTGTGTGTGTCCAGTATTGAGTATTGAATCAAAGGCCTTTTCACTGAGCTGGATCTCCAGCACTTTTTATTTTTTATTTTGAGACAGGTTGGGCTAGTGCTTGGGATTCTCCTGCCTCAGCCTCCCAGAGAGCTGAAATTACAGTTCTAAGACCACACCAGACTGATATAGGACATCTTTAATTTCAATCTGTAACAAGATAGCTGAACCTAAAATGCCTTTTAACACCAACAGTAGCCTAGAGTCGCTGAGATAATGGACACACAGGAATCCTATCAGCCTTAATGGGCTGTCAGGAGGCAGCTTAGGGTAAGAGCAAATCAAACAAGAGTGTTGACAGAAATTTTGTCACATTGTTTTTCCTCTGTAGACCTGAGAGGAAAGGTGCTCATTTTCCCTCAGGAGTCAGCAACTGCCTATGTGTCCCTGATACCCTCGGAGAGGAAGTCCCTGCAGAACTTCACCCTGTGTCTGAAGTGCTTCACAGATCTCACCCGCTCCTACAGCCTTTTCTCCTACAGCACACGCTCCCACGACAATGAACTGCTTCTCTTTACTGAAAAGACAGGGGAATACCAGCTGTTCATTGGGAATGCTGGGGTCTTTTTCAAGGCTCCCTTATCCCCTTACAACCCAAGGCACATCTGTGTGAGCTGGGAATCTGCCTCCGGGATTGCTGAATTCTGGGTGGATGGGAAGCCCTTGGGGAGGAAGGGCCTCAGGAAGGGGTACACTGTGGGAGCTGACGCAAAGATCATCCTGGGACAAGAGCAAGATTCCTTTGGGGGGAAATTTGATGCCAAACAGTCCCTCGTCGGGGAGATATGGGATGTGTCTTTGTGGGACAGTGCACTTCCTCTCAATAACATGTGTGACTGCTGTAATGGTGGCAATGTCCTGAACTGGCAGGCCCTGAGTTATGAGGAAAAGGGCTACGTGGTGACTAAACCCAAACTGTGGGCTTGAGCTTTGTTCTTTTTGGTCATGATTTGTGCTTAGTGATAATCACATCCTCTTTGAAATTAAATGCATTAATTTTTTTTTGGCTCTGTTAAAATGGTGTGAACTACATTAAAAAAAAAAGGGATAAGCAAGCCTTCAGTATATGTTATTTATTGTTGCAAAAATTACTTTGCGTGACTGTACCATAATTTGCTGCAGCATTAAACCTGGGAAACTCGGGGAACATGCTGCTTTCAGTACTGGGTACCAATCTTACAGAACCCTGAGCCATCCTGGGAGCTCCTGCAGGGATGCCAGACACTCAGATTGAACAACCTATGAAAACAATGTGCCCACTCTGCTGGGAGAGATCTGAGGAATGGGCTACTTTATGAGCAGGACTTCCAAAGACAATCAAAAGGGGCTTTCTGAGGAGCAAGGCTGTGCAGAGTTTCCTCTGTGCCTACTCCAGAAAGGACTGTGTTGTCCTCAGCGAAACCCAGTCAAAGGCAAAGACAAACTGTCTGAGGTTCTGCGTCAGCACCCTGCTCTCTGGGTGTACTCTTCCAGGTGGATGTTCTGAGGAGACAGATCTTTTAATCTTCCCGATTCATAAATGTGCAGATTTCCTTCCTTGGCCTTCTATCACTAGGAAATCCATACTCTTTGTTTCATGGCAGTGTACTTTTTAAAAAAATAACCTTATTATCAAACACACACATACAAAAAATTAAAACATTCAAAGAAGAACAATGCAAGGGGAAAAAACTACAATAAATTTCAATACAGTAGAACTCAACCAAAACAAAACTGAAAAGCACTTAAATATTTTTCCATATAACTTAAAAAAGCACCAATAAGACACCAGAGGATGTGATTTGTTTCAGAAAGGTCCCCAAAACCAACATTGAAGAAATAACGATCTGGAGAAAAACTCGTTAGTTAGCAGACTCCACATAAGCCAAACTTCTCCCTAATTTAAATTTCGATACAGTCATATGACACGTGATGGAAACACAATCCGAGAAATATGTTATTAGGCCATTTCATCAGTGTGTATCCTTTATTACACTATCAGTTTCTCACACTAGAGAAACTATTCGGTATTTACACGTGTGTCCTATTTATTTCACCTAAGAGTATTGCCTCAATACACATCCACTTAGCTATAAATGTCTCTAGTTTCTTGTTCTTTATGGCTGAGTAGTACTCCATTTTATAAAAAAAAAAGCACATCTTCTTTATCCAGTTTCCAGTTGATGGGGACTTGGGCTGTTTCCAGGCAGTGTACTTTTAATGCATTTTTGATGGGCCCCCTTGGGTAGTGGTATGTAGGAAATACTATTTTCTTTCTTTCTTTCTTTTTCTTTCTTTCTTCCTTCCTTCCTTCCTTCCCTCTTTTCTTCCTTTCTTTCTTTCTTTCTTTCATTGTTCTACATCAGCACTTTTTGGACTAGAAGATATTTTGAAAATTCTGCCTCTTTTTTTCTCCAGGGCAAATAATTCTAAAATCTTAAACCTTTCTCACAAGTCAAGATAACTTTTCCCTTTAGAAAACAATAACAGTGGGACTTTGGAAACCCAGACTCTTGTTCAGAAAAGTATTTATAGTTTAAAATAAGTACCCAATGATTCACAGAAAGGAAGACCATCAGTGTAGCAGTGAAGAGGGTAAAAGCAAGACATACACACGGTCATGTTCTACACAGAAAAAAAAGAAAAACATAAGCTAATTTCTAGATTTTTCATAGCAAGAGCTAGCTGGAAATTGTCATTAATGAATTTAAGTTCAAAAAAGATCAGGTATTCCTAATGTTGGGAATTCAATAAAACATGTTTTGTCCCCACAAAAAACATATAGGGTATGTGTAGTGAAAATCAGAGGTCAGATGTGACAAAGTTGCTTACTTTTATATTGAACATACTGATAATCCAGACTCACTGAGAAACTATTCTAATGTGAGCCTCAACTAAGTTGGGCAAAAAAATGTATGGGTCCGCAAGGCAGGTAAAAAATGTTTAGAACTGATAATATTTCTTCTAGCATGTCAGGGCCTGTTACTTTTGTCACTCCCCAAAGAAGAAAGTGATGATAAGTGGAAAAAGTAGTCTTGACTGTGTTTCTAACACATCCTGTACACCCACCACATCCTCTTTGCAGTTTTAGAGCTTGATATCTGTCTGACATTTAGGTTGATCTTTCACCCATCACTTCAAATAGGAATATGGCAGCCTACTTTTCTGTTATCAATCAACTACTAGCAATCAGCTATCCCTTGGCTTGTGATTCCCCCTAGCTTCACATCTTGGAAGCAGCATCTGACCATTAACCTGAAGGTAACCATGAGACAAATAGGAGAACGATGATTAAAAAAAAAGAGGGCCAGAGTGGAGTCCAAGCATGGCTTTGTGTTCAATCCTTATCACTGCAAAATAATAATAAATAAATAAGCTTAAAATAAAAACAAGAGTTAAGACAGGGAGACTCTTGATTCTCTAGTGTAACAATACCACCATATTTTGCAACTCTCTTGGGGTAGAGGATGAATGATAGGATCAATTTGTGAGCTTACAAAAATGCCCAAATGATGACAGTCAATACAGTAGGTCCCCCTTATGTGCAGGGAATATGTTCCAAGACCCCAGGGTATGCTTAAAGATGAGGATGGTACAGAACCCTCTATCTGGTGTTTTTCCTATTCACCCACACCTATGATCAAATTTATTTTGTAAATTAGACATAGTAAGAGATTAACAACAATAACTAATGATTAAACAGAACAGTTTTGTGTTTGTTTTTTTTTTTTTTTGGTACCGGGGATTGAACTTGGGACCTTGGGGTTGAGAGGCAGACGCAGGAACCACTGAGCTAAGTCCCTAATAAACAGAACAGTTATAACAATATACTGTAATAAAAGTTATGTGGTCATGAGTTCTTTCTCTCCCACAAGATATCTCAGTATACTGCACATACTAATAGGTGGGTGCCATATATTATATAGATATACCGGGCAAGGGATGATTCATGTCCCCAATGAAGTAGAAAAGGAATACAATAGATTTTGTCATGCTACTCAGAGCAATGCACAATTTAAACTTATGAATCATTTATTTCTGGAATTCTTCATTTAATATTATCAGACCAAAGTTGACCACAGGTCAACTGCACGTAAAAAGGACTACTGTATGTCAAACTGCCAAATACACTAGGCAAGACGTTTTTTCCCAATAGCACGGTAAAGGGCATCCTTGACGTCCTTGTTCCTCAGAGTGTACACCACAGGGTTAAGGAGTGGAGTAAAAATGGTATAAGTCACTGAAATCAACTGGTCTTCATCTCTGGTGTTCTCAGACTTGGGCTTGAGGTAGGCGATGGAGGCACAGCCGTAGTGGACAATAACCACAGTGAGATGGGAGCCACAAGTTGCAAAAGCTTTCTTCCGGCCCTCAGCAGAGGCAATCTTGAGGATGGTAGAAATGATGAGGATGTAGGAGATGAAGACCAACCCCATGGGCACCACAATAACCATTGAGCTGATGATAAAATTAATTATGTCATGTACAGTGGTATCAGCACAGGAGAGTTTCATAACTGGGCGGATGTCACAGAAATAATGGGCCACCTCTCTATCACAAAAAGGCTGCCTGAACACAGATGAAATCTGGATTATGGCCACAAACATCCCAATGCTGCAGGCCCCCCAGACCAACTGGGCACATATTTTTTTGTTCATGATGACTAAGTACCTCAAGGGGTTACAAATGGCTACATAGCGGTCATACCCCATTGCTGTGAGCAGAAAGCAGTTGTTGATGGCCAGAGTGATAAAAAAGAACATCTGAGTAGCACAGCCTGCCAAAGAGATTGACTGGCTTAGACCTACAAGACTAGAGAGCATCTGTGGCACAATGACCAATGTGTACAGAGTCTCTGAAGTGGAAAGCATACTGAGAAAGAAGTACATGGGCGTGTGAAGGTAACGATCAATGCTGATGATTATCACAATGATGGCATTGCTAGCCAGGGTTAAAAGGTACAAGATAAGAAAAAACACAAAGAGGATAAGTTTATGTTCACGAAAGCTGGAGAAACCCTGGAAAACAAACTCATTCACCACTGTGAGATTTTCTCTCTTCATGAATAAATTCTAGGTAAAAAAGATAGAGACTTAGCCAGAACACACCAGTGTCCAATGCTCTGAGAGGAGGAACTCAAGAAGGAGATGATAAGGATTCTGCTGCTGCACAGACACCAAGTTAATGGGGACACTTGTTACTCTGTGAATAAAAAATAGAAGAAACGCAATCAGAAAGCAATTTCATGTATGGTGGTTTATGCCTAAGGGAATGGAAGGATAAACAGGGGTGGAACACGATGGAAGAAAAGACACCTGTGGCAAGTTTGGGAAAATTTTCCTGGTAGAGTAGGAGTACTAGGGGAAAACTAGGCTAAAATAATAGAAAATGCATAGTTAACTTTGAAAGGAATCTTGTTTTAGGTTATAGTTTCAGGTTTTGTTGCTCACAATTTGTTTCAACTGGGGTTCTGATCATCTTCTTAAAGATCTTCCCTTCTGAATTGTACAATGTGGCAGTGCCCTCTGCTCCAACTTAGCCCAAGTGTCTGCTTTCTCTCTGTCTGCATAGTTCATGAATCCTTTTCACAAATGATTCGACAAGTTCAAATGTGACTGTCCTCTACATTTTTATTTTAAAAAACCCCCAAAAACCTCTTTCTTCAACACTTGACTGAAGCCTCCTCTTCCCCCAAAAGTCTTTTCAGGACCGAATGCAATCTGCCCATCCAAGCTCCCTGTGCTGCTGAGTGTTGCCCAGCAACTTGTTCCCATGGATTCTATAAATTTCCATGCATTTTGTTGCTTACGTTTAGACGCAGATTTTCACAGGTAGTCTGTCGCTCCACTGGACTAAATGTGTCTTCTAACTTCTCAGAATCATAAGCAAGGTAACTCTGAAGAAACCAAGTTACTACTTCTATACTCTGGGAAGTTATTGGTAATCAAAAAGCTCTCATTGTCCAAAATGTTTAATAATAGTAATAATAAATATTGTTATGACACTTTATAGCTTTTATAGGGTTATTCCATATATTTTTTAATATCATAGCAATCTACATGTTGGGTAACTATAGCTTCCACATTGCAGATGAGAAAACTATGATACCTAGGGTTACATAATTTTCCCAAATTAACACAGTCTTCCAATTCTAACACTAGGGTAATTTGTTCTACTATACTTCAACCAACAAAGAGGTATCATGACCAAAAAATGGATAGGAAAGAAGGTACTTTTTGTTGGAAATAATTAATGCATTTTCCCCACTTTGGGAATGAGACCATATTGAAGAAAATGGAACATCTGGAAAATATCAGGAAAACTGAAAAAAGTTTCAGGAATTTTTTTACCTAAATTAGGAATGAGGAAATATTAGGACATTAGTGACCACCAATACTCATTCTCCTTGACTTAATATTTCTGCTTTAGTTATTTATTTTGAAAATGATCAGCCAGTATATATAGAAAACTTTTCAGATTATTTATAATAGTGAAGACCAGAAAAATATAAATATATAAAGAAATAATTAAGTTAATTACAACATATCCTTGTCATGGGAACTATGCAGTCATTACAAATCTAAATATTGCTGATATTAAAACACTAAAATCTGAAATTACTCTTTCTTTTGTGATTTGTATATAATGTAGATTTTAAAACCTAATTATTCTCTCATAAACACAAAAACAAAATAGCTAAATATTATTCCAAAATGAAAATATATCATGAGATTGCAGAGAGGACTGAGATTAAAAGTGAAAAGAAGGAGTTAATTTACCTTGGAGAGAAAAAGGTTAACACTATAATGAATGACCAATTTAAAGTCTCTGACTAGGGGCCAGGGATTAGCTCAGTGGTTCTGCCGCCTGCCTCGCAAGCACAAGGACCTGAGTTTGATCCCTGGTACCCCAAAAAACAAAACCAAAAACACCCCAAACAAACCAAAAAAAAATACATAAAGTCTCTGACTAGGCACTATGTAGAAACATGAGCATCCAAAAACCCAAATCCAGAGGAATTTAACTTCAATGTTTAAAATTTGTAAGTACTAAAAAGAAAAACTTTGTAGACAGTGCTGGGAGTAGAATGTGGCAAGTGAGACCCTCATTACAGATATAAAATTTAAAGGAACACCAAAAAAATAAAACTCTATAGTGAAGATGAACAAGAATTTAAGACAATATTAAAAACAATGCAAAAATTTATAATTGAGCAAATATCATAAGGCACAAGTGATGCTATTACTGCAGTAGGATTTAAGTAATTGACTCTACACAGATTTTTTAACTTCCTCACTAAAGATTTTGAAAAAGAGAAAAATTTCAAAATATCAAGAAAAATATAAAGCTAAATAGCTGCTTGTTTTCTTTAGAGATGTGGGGATAGGACAATCCTTAACCATGGCTGTGTAACTGGAATTCATGAAATATTAAACAAAATGAAACATTAAAGTAAAACACACTAAGGGGAATAAAACAATAAATAAATGTATTAGGTTCTGGAGGAGAAAACATTAAAGTGAACTCAGCATTTCTGACTTCTATGCCCCCTCTCATCATTCCTTAGGAAAACGATTCATCTAGATGAAAAGACTAAAGGCAGGATGGCCCTGGGATAATAGGACAGTGACAGATAGAAAAGAACATTGACTCCTTGTCTGTGGATTCCTGGTCACTGGGTCACTGAGAAAGGCAACATTTTACTCCAATGTCTGTTCCAATGGATTCTGGTTGTTTGGCCAAAAATCTCTCTCTGTAACTAAAGAGTTTCCTTCTGGAGGAACTACTTTCTGCCTGGACCCAACAACAGGTTCTTAGCAAGAGGTTAATCTTATGCATTTCATTATTCAAGTCTTTCCAATTGGAAGCAATCTGGAAAAAACTCATGCTCAGTAGTTTGGTCTGTCAAATATAACCCCAGAGTTAGAAGGTAATGTGAAAAACATAGCATTCCTCACAAACAGTCCCCAAATTCTGCTTCAGTGCTTCCAGGGATTGGAAACCCTTTATCTTATAAGTTAGCATCCTCCTTTTTTGATAAGATACTAAGTTTACTTAGAAAAATAAAACTTGGCTTTTTAAATTATAGAAATGCTTGTGGTAGGGGGAAGCCACCTGTACAGAAGGGTATAAACAGAAAAGTTAGTTTTTCCCTTCCATACATTCTCTGCTCTAGAGGTATTCATGATTCTTGTTTTGGTGTTGTTTGTTTCTGTCTATTAATTTGTTACTGTATAACCATGCATTGTCTGCATCATTTTAATTTTACACAAATGGAATTAGGTTGCACATACCAGTTCACTTCTAGCATTTTTTATTGAAGATTTTATCTTTGATACTTTCCATGACAGCATTGGACATCTGCCTCACTCTTTTCATTTCCAGTGGTACATACTATTCCACCATATATATCCATATAGATGTCATATCATTAATTTTATTTTTATCTTTAATTCTTAGAAAATGTTACTTTCTACTGACTCAATATCTATCTTCTTGCTACTTCTGACCTCCCACATCATTCCACCTCCCATTTCTCCTTAACATAGTAGTTTTTCAAATATTGAAGACTACTATCATGTTACTGCTCAAATTTCATGTCCTTGAATCCATTGCCCTAGCCAGATGAGCATGACAATATAACATTAATGAACATGAAATTTAATATAATCAGCTGCATACTAAAAAGCATAGAAGGAGAATAGAAAGATTTTGAAATGTGTACATGGTATTCCATTTTCACTTACTCCTGCCAATGGCCACTTACTGCTTCTGACCCTGGCAATAGGAAAGAGAAGGAGGTGCTTTCCAGAGAGTGAAAAGGGTCTGAGTCGACTCAAGGACCCAAGTGAAAAAATTTATGTTCAGAAGTCATTGACAACGGAGGCTAAAAGCCACAAGGTGAGAAAAACCCAGCTCTCTCTCTAGTATCAAACATAATCTCATATTATTACTATGTTCCTTAAGTCTAGGCACTGGTTCCCTTGAATTAGGGTGTGACCCAGTGGGAAAGCTAGTCTCATAAACTGCAGATTTCAAGAGTTTTGAGTGTTTATTTTCTCCAAAAAGAAGTGAATCCCTCTGCCCCAAATCTCCTAGGACCCTTCCTTTGCGAATTCCTTCAGGATGCGGCCAGATAAGGCTGATGGAACCTGGGAGCTGGTCTCAAGGGTTTCATTAGGAACTTGGGTTGCTGATGAAGGAGATGTTTTCATTTGTTTACTGGTTTGGGGAATTGTTTGGGTTTCAGATACTAAAACTGTATTGCTCAGTAGTCAAGTAAACCACATGAATATGAGATAAGCTTACAGAGGGAAAATCCTAAATTTAGTTTGTGAGCCTTAGAGAGCATTTAGCTTCATGAAATTTATTCAGATAAATAAAATCATGGCAAGCAAAAGGCTATAGTGGCCAGGGTATTTCTGGTCCATCTTCAATTTACAGTCACTCTCAAGTGTCACTGATAAGCATCTCAGCTTGACTATCCCATTGAGGGAGATCCATTGCCCTCATTGAAAAGTGCAGAAGACACTGTCAGTGCCCTTCCTTGTGGTCATTTTGGCCTATTCTGTGACATTCCTGGAGTGAAAATCAAACAGTAGGGGATCTTCGAGAAATTCATTTTCTGGCTCACCATCAAATGATCTCCATACCCATGGGAAAGTGAGAGCAGCCATTTCAACTCTACTCTATAAACAGGGGTTGCCATAAAGATCTTCAATCCAGACCAACAATTTCAGTTCTGAAATGACCACGTTTCCTCTCTGATTACAAAAACTATGCACCTTCACCATAGAAAAAACAGAAAAGGAAAAATTAGGTCACATAAATGGCTTCTGATCCCTAATTCAGAATAGACATCATTAACATTCTGGTGAACAATTTTAAAATTTTTATGCATTCATGTGTGTATCTGTTTATAAGCATATATATATATATGTATATACATATATATATATGTTCATTGGCACAGTTGTTATATTTGTACTAGCTATGATAAGAATGTGTTCCTCAAAGTTGAGGTGTTGGAAATTTAATCCCTAAGTCCATCTATTGATGGTTT